GGTCTCCTTTGTGCCGATGCCTGCGCTCTCGGGTGCCTGTTCGTGCAGCTGTACACGCTCCGGAGGACCTTGAGCGCTGTCTCGTCTTGGCGCGATTATCGCCACCTGCAGTCTTGACGTCAAGTGTGATAACGGCGTTATGACGTGCTGTGTTAGACCTGTGCATCTCAAGTGAGATGTTTTGACGGATCACGGCGGTAACATCTGGCACTTATTTTGATCGGCACCAAATGGTTCCTGAAATGCTTGAAGTGATAGTGCTCATACATTTTACGTAAAATACCATTGCTGGGAATAATGCGGCTCGCATTTAAGACAGACAGCTGTTTCAGTAGGTTTGCCATAGCCAGGAAGCCGGTCTGTGACGTCCGCGGTGCCTGCGTGTTTTTGTCGTCACCTTACCCGGCCCCATAAATCAGTATGTCCTCGCCGGTAATAGCCCAATGCTGCCCCGGCACACTGAGTGCCTCACAGCTGCGGTACGCCGCAGGGCTCGGACTCAACCGAAGAGGTAAAGCGCTCGCTGCCTGCAGAAACTTACTTTTCAGTTTTGTGGCCTAGAGGTAATCGGTAATTTACCATTGCCTGACATATAGTTTGTAGACTTTCGTAGTGCGCCTAGATTTCCGGCGGTAAGTCGGGTGTTTTGCACAACGCATGCCTTTTCATGCAGACTGCTGATCTGCCACCGGGACGGCAGCAGCAGCTCAAGACTGGCACAGTCCGGTACATACAGTGAAAACCGTTCCATCCTCAGCTTTTGTAAAGTGATACTAGATTTCACGCCTAGACTTTTTCGCCTAGTGCGGCTTAGTAGATTTTTACGTTCTAAAGGCGAGATGCTGTATTATCATAGATGGGTGTAATCAACCGTCCTTAACAGCATAAAAGCATTTGTATCCCCCAATAAAGCACTGAGCGCGCAATTGCAGGTAATAATGATTCACCTGCACTCTACGGAGCCGTAAACTGGAACGGCTTATGTCCGATAATGCGTGCTGTGTGTTTAACTTTCATAGCGCACTAATGACTCAAGTGAAGATTGACGTCCGCAGTAAACATTGCACCGAATCCAACCACTAGTTCGTTACGAATAACACCTGCGGCTGATTGTACCTGTAGCTGGCAGTGTGCCAAGTAACCCTTGACGTGCGCAGGCTGCGCTGTGTCTTGATGTCACCGGTTAGCTGTTGGTCGCAATCATCAGCCACGCCTCTCCCTGCTCCTGCGACTAGATAACATGGGGCGTGCTGCGGGAAAAAAACAGCAGATTGCTAGATTCTAGCGCAGCAGAGAGAAGGAGGTACGGCGTGAGATGGTGAAGCACTGAGTTTGGCGACCTCGAAACGTTTTTTTCGCACCTGCCAACTGCCTCAGGAAATACAATGAAACAAGGGCGATCGCCATTTGCGGTTTACATAAACGCACAATATCAAACCCCTCAATGGATAGTTGCTCTCATACGGCTTGTTTTTACGTACACCCTACTCCGTGTTTACATAGCAGGAAGTCTCTACATCATACGAGAAACACATGGCTTGTAGCTCTGAATTGACCGAAGGAATTTCGGGGCCCCGCAATTCCTTCGGTAATTTCGGGGTTCGAAAACCATGTCCAATGTTGCCGGTGTGCTCTGATCGTGTGACAGCGCTGGCCCTGACCTCAGGTAGCCGACGGCGTGGATGAGGTAAAGAACACATCAGCTGAGGCCACCAGGTGGCCTCAACGGCACCTTCTTGTTGTCACAGTTCCATGTGTATTCTGTAGATTGAGTAGCTAGTGCGTTTTTGACAGTAGCTCTAGTTGTTCCCTGGCAGCTAGCCCAGTAGAAGAATAGTGAAGCTGCAGAGTTTTTTCCTGTCGTTGGGCGATGTCTCGTGCAAACAGACATCAGCGAATGCAGCCGCGCACTGCCGTGCCCTAGCTAGAGTTTGACATAGCTCCGCGCTTGAACGGGCTGGCCGCTCGGCCTGGGTGCTCTGTCGGCCTGTGAGTCGTCTCCGCGTCTGCCCTACGACGTTTGTTGGTGTATCGCTGCTTTCGACTCGAGCGTCGTACCTCGCGTAGTCCGGTCACAGAAACGGGTCACGCCGCCGTGACCTCTGCGTGACCTGCGGCCGGCTTAGTGGTAGAGGTCACGCAGCTCGTGAGCAGCTTGTCACCAACTGGTCCGACTAGCAATTAACATTAGTACATAGGTACTCTATGCAGTCAAGGAACGCATTGAATAATTATTTGCAGAGGTGTAAGACGACGCGTCTAAAAAAAACTAAAGCGCATGTGGTAGAATAAAAGGGCAGTGATCCTGCCCCGCATAGATCCAATTGTAAAAGAGCCTCCGCAACACGCTGTACGTTGCTTGTCATATAACGTGACTGTTGCAGTGCGTGCCGAAACATGCAGGGTTTTTTCGGAGTTACATCGTTTATCTACGAATTTGGACCTTTTTAGGGTTCACCTGTACCAAATGAGTGCGGCCCACTGAATGTCACGTTTTACAACCGATGTTTGATAGCTTTTTTTCCGTTTAGGTGCTGTGAGACTGATATTTTTGACATTTTCTTGCTGCACAATGATAACACACGCTGGCCAGGGCGTGCGTCTTGGCGTCAGACAGTGTGTCTTGGCGTCAGACCATATGTCCCTACGTCAGACCGTGTGTCTTGGCGTCAGACAGTGCGTATAGGCGTCAGACAGTGCGTCTTGGCGTCAGACCGTGTGTCTTAGCGTCAGACAACAAACCCGAGAAGTGGTCATTATCGCCCAGCCTCCTCCCTCTTCTGCAGATGTATGACCCTGCCCAAGCCAAAGTGCTCCTGGATAAGCTTGTTAGCGAGTTCAAAAGGACAACGACCACGCCCAGTCCGGCAGCAGTCAAGACATTCGTTACCAGGTAGCGAAAACGGCGCGTGGTCCGCGTCAGGACCACGGAAGATAACTGTGCTCCCCCGCGGTCGCCGTGGATTATGTGTGTTCAGTAGCTTACAACGCAGTGTCAGAGCCGGCTGCCCCTTTGGGCTATGTCGTTGATAACGTCTTTCGGTGTGTGATTTAGTGTTTTAGGGCGCGTCGACACCTGGGCCATTTCGCGCCCACTCGATGACGGTTGTCGATATTTGCAATGTCACGCTTTAAATGTGCTGCCAACTAATAACAGGGTGTCACTGGTGCACTTACACTGAGCTGTGAGTCAAAATGAGACCATTGTCCGCACCTGGACGTACAAACATGGGGCCAGCGCTGGTACGTAGGGTGCGGGTACCCTGCCCAACCGAACAGCACTTCCAACATCAGTCTGCAGGGAACGGCACGTGCCGTGCCAGCCGCCGATGCTTTGCGGTACAGTCTATCATCCGCTTCTGTCTTGCGGTACAGCCTAACATTGCTTGCTGTGCTGCGGTACAGCCTAACATCCGTCGCCGCCGTGCTGTGGAATCCGCTGTTGCCAAGGGCCAACCCGCATCTTGGCGACGCCTTTTCAGGCTGGGTCCCCTGGGCAAGTTCTTGAACACCAATGAGATGATAGACATGGTGGACTCCACAATGCGGGACCGCACCAACGAGATCGCCACCATGCTGCGCGACACCATTGGGAAGAAGTCGGCGCCACTCGGGGTCAGTTTGACGGAATCTTGGGAAGAAGGCGGCACCACTCGGGGTCAGTTTGGCGGTATCTTGGGAAGAAGTCGGCACCACTCATGGTCAGTTTGGCGGTTTCTTGGGAAGAAGGCGGCACCGCTCGGGGTCAGTTTGGCAGCTCAGGCTGCTTTGATAGGGACGTTGCCAGGTGTGTGCATACTAAGCGGCCGAAGAACACGCAGCGTGCTGAGTGCAATGGCTCCATTCATTCAGATTTGGTCGGCCTTTTTCTGATGATAGGCTACACTTCTTGCCGATTTTTTCATCCATTTTCTGTGTCCACTAACTTTGGCACGTAACTGAGATAATCTCCCCACATGCCTGTTTATCACACTGCTGAACACGGATCATGTTCGACAGAGGCACCGCCAGCAGATTTCGTGCTCATCCCGCTCTTCTGCGGTCTTCCAGAACACATCATGTAAAAACAAACCAGACAAACTTAGACAGTGTTTAAGTCCTCGGCCAACAGTGCCGAACACCACGGGCCTGACGATTATGGCCTTGTTTCAGCAACGCTGTGACGTCTTCAAGCGGACCCAGAGGGGTGTCAACTTGACAGAGCTAATTAAGAGTGACGTCAACAAGATAGGTGAGCTGCAGTTGGATCGGACGGAATGAAACAGCTGTTGACGTTGCCTCCGAGTGTTTGGAACATTGCGATGAGTTACAGGAAAAGCGATGGGTTTTAGGCCAAACTTGAAGTGTACACGTATGTGTCGAGATCAGTTGTGTCTGGCTTAGACTGCTCTTTTCTTCAAAGAACTGCGGAATAGCAAATGGCTTTTACATTTGACATTTATAGTTTCGAGAAATTATTTCATCGGACTCCTTACCCACCACTACGAAAACGACGCTTTCTCCAATAGCATGGACTTCTGTTGATGTGGGATGAATTGAACATTACAAAAGCGATTAGTCAGCGGGAATAGAGGTGGGGCAGTCCTCTCCAACTTCTTGAGTACTGGCGTTCAGTCCGGTACTTGGCCAGTGACTGGCGCTAGAAATGAGAGAAACGACGCGATGCAGATCACTTTTCACGTATTCTATAGTATATCTGCCACTGCATCTAGCACCTTACCAGGATAACCCAGAAACTCAAGCCGAACCAGGACTCGTCAACACCAATGCCCATCAGTTCTTCAGCAATGCCAGAGGAAGAGGAAGGTCTCCGAGTCCATTTGCTTCGAAAAGACGGGTCCTGGTATACTACCCAAACATTGCCAAGGACGGTGGACGCCAGTACCAGCACAGACCCCTCGCCACCCCCCAGCTCTATCACCGCAGGTCGACTTGCCGAAGCCCTTCGCACGGGGCACCACGTAGGCTTTGCGGGGTGCATCTCTCTCAAGTCAGCCTAAGACGCAAGCTAACATGGGACGAAAGTAGGAATCATGTTCGTGTGTATCTAACCCGATGAGGTCAGAAGAGCGAAGAGCTGGGAAATGGAGCGCTTGTCGCGGCGCAAAAGCCATTGTAGTCCTCCATCGTGTCTTGCATCAGGCCTCGCAATTCCATGCAGCAGGCGTTCCAAGAAATAAGGATTCACGACATTCCCGCAACATGCTGGTCATGCGATGTTTGAACCACACCACTTACCAAACACGCAAAGGAATGCATTAAACAGGTCAGAGCAGATCCGGATCTGGCCTACATTCGACATGTTTTGCGTTGGTCGGTGCCCAGTGGCTGGCATGCCGATCCAGGAGATCTGTGCGCGCAGGGGGGAGGGGGAGGGGGGGGGGTAGCTGGGGGAAAGAAAGTAACGGGAGGCTGCGGAGTAGGCAGGAATGGTAGCGCCCAATTGGGTGGTAGAGGGTCTTTCCAGCCCCATTTTCCATTCGCATTTGACTCAGAATCTAATTGGGGTGCCTCGATTTATGTAAAAGAAGCCCTACGGCGGCATTAAATTGTCAAAAGTACTACAGGCCCGGTTTGCTACGCCACTGATGGGAGGAAAGGTAGAGAAAAGGTAGAAGGACAGGAAAGGTAGAGAAAAGATAGAAGGACAGGAAAGGTAGGGAAAAGGGTAAGGGCATGTGTTGGGCGCTGATAGCACTATGCTCTACCCGAAATTTGCACAAGTCGGGTGGAATCTGCTACGGCCCACGAACATTTTACGGTGATATGATATCAGCAAGACCCCATCATGGCAGACACGTCCTGCAACCGGTCAATGAGAAGCATCTTTCACCTAAGCAACCTCCTCGGTCTTCCCGACACCCCGCATCAGGTTCCCGCTTCACCATGTTTGTTGACCTGTAGAACAGGGTTGATTAATTTGTTATTTGTACTGCTCCATCCGTCGCTGATTTTGCCGTTTTGCACCAACATGAGTCACGTCAACAGCAGGGTACGTAAAGCTTTTCCAGCGGGGAGTTCCTGTCCTTGTTTTCCTGTGGGTGCTCACTGCCCGGGCGAGCACGCCTTGCGACGTCTTATGACGGCATGCTCTTCCACACGGCAGTCAACGACGGCTATGCTGAGCTGCGTGCCCGACATGTACCTGAAAAAACTGGGCGGAAGACTCGAAGCTCACGTTCACCCAGCTGGCGCAGTCCAACTCCATGCTGACCTCGGGCAAGGTGCGAGGAGCCGCGGGGCACAGGCGCGCGCTGGTGGATCAGTGAGGCGTGACGACAGCATCAGCGCAGCGACGGCTTCGGGTCGACGCGAAAGGGCGAAGTGTGATGGTGCAGTGTGGTGGCGCGGGGGGTACAACGCAACACCGCGGCGCGGTGGCCGTATTAGCGCAACAGGGGGAGCAGGCACAGGCTGGCTGCTAGTTGCGGTGGTTGTAATCGGATGATTGTTGCGGTGGTTGTAATCGGATCGGGGCCCTGGTGATTGTGTCGTAAGGGACTTACTTTGGAGATGCACTTCTCCATATATCTTTAGAAGTGAGAGTGCTGTGGCAAGATGAGACAGCATTCGCCGCGCGACATGGCTCCCACTTGAAGTGAGTGCAAACGGGAGCAGGCGGAACAACGCAATGACGAGCATTTTGCCATAAATTTTCCTGTAGTCCCCAGTATGACACAGACATACCGGGAGGATAACATTCTGATGCACCCATTAGGTCATGCGTGGACTGTAATCCGGGCCGTGATCCGTGATCCGTGATCCGTGATCGGTCGTAATGGACCGTAATTCCGGCGTGGACTGTATCCGGCCCTGTGAGTGTCCGTCGAAGCCAAAGCAAACCAAAACAGCTAGCAAAACACAACAAACAAAAAACCAAAACAGCTGACCTCGGCGTGATCTGGTGCAGATCAATGTCATGGCTCAAGCGGCGGTGAAGCAGTCCCAGTTCCAGAAGACCACGGGCGAGGTCGACATGCAGAAGCTGCCTGGTCGTCTGATGGGAGCTGTTCCCAGCAGCGCCATCACGAAGGCCAGCTGGTAAGCGGAGGACAGACTCGCCAACTCGCCGAGAGTGGTACAGAGTGGACTGGACGCAGTCAACGGGTGATCAGCGGGAGACGGGTGGTACAGAGTGGACTGGGCGCAGTCAACGGGTGCTTAGGCGGGAGAACGGGTGGTACAGAGTGGACTGGGAGCAGTCAACGGGTGGTCAGTGTGGATGATAAGTCATGGCCGCGGGTGAAGCCTGCAAGTAAAGGCAGCTACGGCCCAGGCTCTTTGCGTCACTCCAGCGTGCTCACTCGAAAATGAGGCACTTGTTTCGCCTTACCCAGATCTGCTGAGTTGGGCTTTACAACAACAAAAAACACTATGCCAGCTGGAAATGCTTCGTGGGTGCGATGTGTAACGGCTGGATGAAAATCTCGTTATACTGTTCAGACAGCGCTGGCAGGGCACAATCTGACGCGGTATGTTTTATGTTTTACAGGAGTGAACTCTCCGGGCTTAAGCCCAAAATCAGGGCAGGAGAAATCATGTTTGACAGGTCTCAGAAAGCGCGGTTCGTGCGTAAGGTGAGTTACACTCATCGCCGTGTTGTTACAAGGCAATTTACAACCAGTTGACAAAAATTTCTGATGCATTTTGCTGCAGCCTTTTTCAATATTTCCGATGTAATCTGCTTTTCCCTCCCGTAAACGATTCAAAACGCTTCAAATTGTTATGCATTGGGCCATTTTGGGTGCGAGTTAGTCGTGAATAACTGTTTTTGGCCGATCGTTTTTTAACGATTTCATAACGCGACACTTGGCTTTCGGTGTGACTGCAAAATAACATACATATTGACCGATTTTGAGGTTTTAAGTTTATAGATACTCTTAATGTGAGCGAGACCTTTGCATTGCATACCGATAATATGGCTTTACATGTTAAGTGACCTGCCTTTGTTGCGCGGGAAAGCAGAGCGGGAGTGATTATTTTCTGCACGATGCTAACTTTCCCCAGTAAGCAGATCCTGTAAACATAAATCAAAATTATGCAACTGTAAAGAAAATACTTCAATCCCATGGTATTTCTATGCGAACCGCATTAATAGCTACACATTACTGGATTTTGTCAATTGCAATAACCGAGTTCAAGTAACAGTCTATTGTGGAATCAATGGATAAAGCCGCCAGGTCAGATCTGAGGAAGCCAAAACCGTGGGATATGGAGGCCGGCTTGCATTCACCACCGTTTCCTTGTTTATTTAAAGGATCATGTGGGAAGATACAAACTTCATAGCCCTTGGGCCTATTTTCAAGATCCCATCGTTGAAATTCGGCATTTACTTCTATACAAAGACCAGCTAACCATGGCCTTGCATTGCATTTCGTGTTTTAGCTTTTGTTGTCATCGACGAAGTTTCCCTTAGGTGCTTGTCACTTATCTGCTTTGAATTTGCCACCGAGATCATGTGACAAGTCGTGGTATTGTGCTCTCTGGGTCGAGCCCCTTAGATGACATGAAGAATGTCTTCATTTTATAATTTACGCGGAAATCAATGCAGCAGAGGTGAAAGATACATAAGTTTTTGAATAGTGATACGATAGTGTTATTCTTAACAATGTGCTTTCCATAGCGCTCTTGCTTTTGAAATGAAAGCCTCCTCATTGTCATGCTGGTTTGTCTTTCATGCATGCATAGTTCTTCCCCGAGCGTTTCATGCATAAGCCTTTCCAAAATCGGCTACAATCCATTTTCCGACACCGTGGCTGCCTAGGGTTCGGTGAGGAGCGGTGGCCTGCCGACAGGCCCTCGACTGACCTCTGCCGCAGGGCCTGGGCGGTGAGACAACCGAGGCGTTCGTCACGGCCAATCTCGACCCTGCTTACTACGAGCTGATTCCAGTCGAGGAAATGAAGAAGCTGTCCTCGGCTTCGAAAAAGAATGGTAGGTACCGCCAATAACTTGGCTACCACGAACGGGTAAGCTGCTTTTTTGCCGTTACTGACCGGAAGTTTAAAAAGGCTGGGCTCACGATTGTCGGAGCTGAGCTAATTTTTTTCCTAACAAATTTCGTTAGCTACAATTTCCATCAGTGTTGGCGATGAAAATGATCTTTTCAGTGTTATGCGCAAGACGCCTTGACTTCGGACTCACATAAGTATAAAAATACAAAATAGACCAAAAGGACGTCGCCATATTTCAAAGGTCAATCCTTCGTAGGGACTAAACACTGACATCCGA